TAAATTTAGTTAGGAAAATAGCAAAAAAATTATTTCATCAACTTACTCTGTGACAAGGCCGTTTGTTCTTCTTGAGGCACCTAAATAACAAAAAAAAAAAGAAAACTTGTTGCTCTCACGTTTTGGGCAGTGAGGATAAAATTTTAGGCTTTTTATTCCCAGCCTCCAATCATTAGAACTTTTTAAAAAGCATCATTATTTGACATAAGTATAAACATACAATATAAGTTTGCAGTTAAGAATAAAAATACCATATATGTTTGGAGTTTGCGCCATGACTGTAAGCTATCTTAAATATAAAGAAATGCTGGATCCGTCAATGTCACAGATCTCTTATTTCTGAAGCAAATTTGCTTCAGAACTCAGCGTTTAAACCCTGTAAATGTACATTAAATATTTATATACACATAAATTTTTAGCTTAAGACAAATATCTCAAGAAAACATGTAAAAAAATAATTTTTAAATGTACTTTTAAGGTTTAGAGTTTGCAGTTAGGTATCGCATAAAAATTGAGATTATTAGAACCATTCAATAACGAGAAAGCAAGAAAGCAGTCATCACAGCTAGCTCCTTGAATTCAATCTTCTTTTTTAATAGTTTAATACAAGAACTCTTTACTTGAAGTAGCTTCTGAAGCTTCTCCAAGCTCATCACACGCTCTACAACATTATGAATAAGTTTTACTGTAAGCGTAGCAAAATTGAACATTTTATTACGAAATATTTTTTTCTTAAAACAAGAAATACGTATCTAGTTTTAAGAAATAAATATCCTCTCTGCAATTCTTTTTTAAAAACAAATATATTTCTTGATTTGAGAAATAAATTTCTTAAACTATGATCGATAGATTTACGAATTTGTTGTAAGTTCTGATGAGTTAGCAACTATTTTTTTAAATACAACTTTATTCAAAAAGTCTGAGAGAGTCTCATTCGTAGGCATTTTTTCAAACTTTTAGAGTAAAACTTATGAAATTAAGTTTTACTCTAAAAATTGCAGAACCGCGATGCCCTTGAGAGAGAAATGTAGTCAGCCATTCTATTGATCTGTTTATTAGTTTATTACTTAGAATAAAAACTGCCTGATTTTAGAAAAATCCAACTTGAATTTCATGAAATTTGGTGAATTTACTTATAAAATTAGATATGACCCTTATAAAATTAGATATGACCCTTCTCTGAGCCGGATTTTGAATCTTTCACTTTAGAAATTTACAAAAAGGCATCTAAAAATATTATTTTGACAACTACATACGGGTATTTAAATAACTTTAAAAATCACTCAAGTGATTATTTTGAAATAGCATGCAGAAAAAATAAAGACCGCTCATTTTTATTTGTTGTAGATAATAACGTCGACTATTTTACGATCGCTTTAATGAGTTTGGAATGATGCCTATAATAAATAAATCAACAAGAATAACACAAAACTCTCGTCTGCAATCGACAATATTTTCACAAACACACTCTTCCATTAAACATTTAAATCAGGCATCACTAGAAGTGACAACCAACCATTTCCCAGTCTTTGCAATTTTCAAAAAACCAAAAGAAATACTAAAAAAGGACTGGTATTTCAAAAAAAGAATATTTACAACCCGAGCAAAAAATATGTTTAAACTAGAGCTATCGACTGTAAATTGGAAATTTGTTTTTTTCGAGACATGTGCTAACAACAGCTACAACCTTTTCTTAGATAAATTTTTCAATTTGTACGATAAGCATTTTCCTAATAAAACAATCCGTATTAAAATTAAAAGACTTCTTAATCCTTGGTTCACTAAAAACTTTTAAAAGTCTTCGAAACGAAAACAAAAGCTATATATACGTTTTATTAAATCAAAGAAAGAACGAGATAAGCAAAATTACTTAGAGCACAAACGTCAATATGAACAAACTAAAAAAATAGCCAGAACTACATACTTCAAAAACAAGCTGTTAGAACTAAAAGGACTGCAAAAAAACGTGGGATGCTATTAAAGAGATTCTTGGAAAAAACACAACAAAGTCTTACCAATCCTGATTACTAAAGACGGCAAACAGATCTCTGATGTAAAACCGGTGGCAAAAAAATTTAATGAGTTTTTCGTAAATATTGGTCCAAACCTAGCCAGCAAAATTAAACACACTCCTGCACATTTCTTGAGATATTTATCAAAGTCGGATAAAAGCTTAGCATTTAAAAAACTCACTAGTAAAGATGATTCAATAAAAAAATTAAATGAAAATAAAGCAACAGGCTATGGTTCTATTTCAGTAAAGCATAATCAAAGACTGCTATGAACTTATTAAAGATATTTTATTAGATATTTTTAACAAATCACTTAAAACAGGTGTTTTTCCAGATAAAATGAAAGTTGCAATTATTACACCCATTTTTAAAATCAGGAGATGAAAGTCTGGTTACAAATTATCAACCTTCATCGGTATTACCTGTATTTTTAAAATATCTTCGAACGTATCATGTATAATAGGATATTTGCATTTTTGTATGATAACAATCTTCTTTATTATAACCAATATGGTTTTCGATCAAATTACTCTACGGAACATGCACTTATGCAACTTGCTGAAGTTATCAGTGGAGCATCTTCTCATAATAGCAATAAAATCTCAAGAAGTATTGGCATTTTATATAAAACCAGATCAATCTTAGACAAATATACACTAACTCAACTTTATTTTGCATTCATAAATAGTTATTTATCATTTGGCAATATTGTTTGGGGTAGTACAAATAAATTTAAAACTTGACTGTCTCCTTAAACAACAGAATCATGCAGCACGCATTATTCATTTCCAAAATCGCTTCACAAATGCTAAACCTCTTCTAAAAAGTATGTAATTTTAAAAATATTAAGTTCATAAATATCAAGTGCCCACTTGATATTTATGAACTAAATATTTTCAAAATTACACAATTTATGTTTAAAGATCAGTCAAAAAAAACGCCGAAGGTTTTCGAAAATATTTTCCCTAAAACATTAAACCGATACAACACGCAATCTACCAGAAGATTTAAAAAACATTTCCATACATCAAAACTTACGAGCTTTGCCATTTCCTATCGTGGCTCAATGCTATGGAACCATTTTACGAGCCTGAGTGGTAAACTAAAAGAAGCCAAAACCTCTCAAAAATTTAAAAAGAACATAATCAAACTTACTACCAATCAATATTCTTTACACGATTTTTTCTAACAATACAGTTTTATTTCCAATTTTTATTACCAAAGGTTACTGATGATGAGATTTTATCTTCTTCAGGTTCTCCGGTCTCGTAACTATTATAAATAATGAAATGTACTTGTATTTAATATTTTTAAATATTTTATCGGAAATTACCTTTAACTGTTATGGTTGCTTGACAAAAATAAATTAAATTAAATTAAAAAATAAAAAATTTATAGAAATACACTACATCGACTGAAATAAATAGAGACGGATGTTGTTCATACTTTTATTGATATTGACTAAAGCTTTTGGTTTATTCATATTGACTAAAGCTTTTGGTTTGGAAAATTCTGTTTATTTTTTAAAGGTTATTGCACTTTTTTATTAATTTTTAATGAAGATATTAAAACATTCTTTTAACTTCATTTCCATGACAACTTTATCTTTGATACAAATTGTTATCAAATGAATAAAAGAAACCAGTACTTTTTTGACGCATTAAAACTAGTGATGTGCCGGGTACCCGGTTCGGACCCGGGGACCCAGCAATTTGGCTGTTTTACCGGGTACCCGGCATTGGCCATTTTATTGCAGTATCCGGCACCGGGTATCTTCAAATTGATTTTTTCTTTAGTTTAAACTTTAACCATTAAACTTCTTGATATAAGTGTAAAAGTGTTATGTAGTCGATCTCACTTAAAATATTTTTTAACACATTTTTGCAAAAAAATTTATACGGATACAAAAACTGTAACGCTAAATGAAATAATTCGAGAATACGAATAAAAAGAATGGGAAAAAAAGTTTTAGAATAGCTTCTTTTTATTCTGTTAGAACGCAAGATAATTTTTAGCAATTTAGTTTTGAATGAAACGCTTATAATGCTTTCGAACGCTGTTAGCACTTTTCATTCATATCAAGCAAAAATCATAAAAGTAGATATATAAGGTAAATATTATACACATTTTTCATATTTTAATTTCGAGCGTATTATTAAAAAAATTATCGTTTTATAAAAAATAAACGAAAACTTTGATAACAAAACTAGTTTCATTATCTTTGTAGAATATTTATTTGAAAGAAGAATTATGACAAAAAAAAGTATAGCGTGGAAGTTCTTTGATATAAGCAAGACTCCTCATATGAGTAAGTGCAAACTATGTAATAGTTTAGTTACGAGAGGAGGAAAATCTTTCAAGTCTTATGGAACTACAGCATTGGTAAAACATTTGCGTTTAAAGCATTCCAAAGAGTTTGAACTTGCGGAAGAAAAAAATAAGGTTCAATCATTGCCGTCTATTTCTGAAGCCTCTGTTGCTTCTACCACCAATACAGTACAAAGTAACATTTTTAGGCTTTACACAAAAAAAAAACAGTGGAATATTGATGACCACAGATTCATTCGAATCCATAAAATAATAGGAAAACTTATCACATTGGATATTCAGCCATTTTCTATTGTTGAAGATACGGGGTTTAATGAACTGATTAAATATGCTCACCCCAATTACAAATTACCATGTAAAACATATTTCAGCCAAAACGTAATCCCTAGCATGTATGATGAACTGTTTAAAGATATAAAAATAAAAATCTCCGCGGCAAACTATTTGTCTCTGACGACAGATATTTGGACAGCGGATACTGGATAAAATCGCATTTTTAAGCATTACTGGATATTGGATAGATCAAACTAAATTTTCCCAAGAAACTGCTGTTCTTCAAGTAATTCATTTTCCGGAAAAGAGTATTTACAAAAAGGTTTAGAAACTTTTGAAATCCCGTTAAGCAAAATTCATCGTATTGTTACCGATAATGCAAGCAATATGAAGGCTGCAGTAAAAAACAGTGGAATGTCATCAATTCCATGCTTTATCCATACTTTGCAGTTATGTATTCATGACTCTATATTTACCCAGGAAACCATCAAGGAAATTTTAACTTTATGGAGAGAAATAACGACACATTTTAATCATTCGTCAATAGCATGTGCAAAATTAAAATCAATTCAGCAGCAGTTAAGTACTGTACCTCACAAAATGAAACAACATGTTCCAACTCGATGGAACAGTTCATTTGAAATGCTACAAAGAACGATTGAACAAAAAGTTCTTTTGGCCACCTATGTAGCAGAATATGATGAAATTAAACTTCCTACAAATTATCAATGGGGAATAGTCGAAAAACTTGTTCACATTCTTGCTCCATTTAAAAACTTAACAAAAAAATGTGGTAGGAGGGACGAAACTTGCGCACAAATTATACCATCTGTTTTTCCATTAAAAGTTTTATTACAAAAAGCTTCATCAAGTGATATATACGCTGGGATTATGACAATGATTGATGAGCTAATAAAATCTGTTACTAAAAGACTTGATAAATTTTTGCTTAATAAAATGTTGTGTATCAACATTTTTGGATCCATGATATAAATTACTTTGTCAACATGCAGATGAAAATGTTATTAAGGAGAGGGTTGAAGAAGCATGGAAAGAAATGCAAGGAGCGCAAGATGTTGTTGACTCTGACTCCGACGATGCTCCAATAGTAAAAGCTCCAGCATCTAATGGATTTATTAGGATTTATTATTATTTATTATTGATAATTGTTTTAAAGATGTAACTTCTATGAGAACCGGAAGAAAGCAGAGTGAAATATGTTCCGAGGCAGAAAGAGAATTAGTAGATATTGAAGTTGTTACCACTGACATAATTAAGAAGAAAAGAATATTAAGGTCTGCAATAACTCAAGAAATAGACAACTATTTATCTCTGCCTCTTTTAGAAAATCAAAATTGTCCGTTTTTGTGGTGGAGTAAATGTGGAATGCAATTTGAAAAACTAAAAAAGATGGCATTAAAATATCTTACAGCACCTCCGTCATCAATAGAAAGCGAAAGGTTAATTAGTGCTGGCGGGGACATATACGAAGCAACAAGGAGCATACTAAAAGCAGATAACGCAGAATACCTAATGTTTGTGCATTACAATCTAAAGTTAATAAAACAATTAAAATAAGATACAGCAAATAAGTGTTGTTTAAGTTCTTTTTATTTGTTTAAATTTGTTTTACTTTAATCACTCTACAGTCGAGAAGGTCTACTTTTTTTTGCAATTCTTTATATTTCTTAATCTTTTGCTTTCCATAATATAACTATCAATGGCGGAACTTCAAATTTTGCCCCCTTCCCCACAAAATATTATTTAGGCCCGCTCCATCAGGAAAGAAAAATAATTTTAAACTAAATTTAGTTATTAAAAAAACTGTTGCACAACTTTTGAAAAAAGTTAGGCCCTACAACTCAGGCCCCTTACCCTGCATTGCGGGGTTTTGTTAAATGGTACTTCCGCCACATAACTTTTGGTTAGTTAGCGTAAAAAGCGTATTTTGTGTGAATAGTTCAGCGCTAAAGACTTCACAAGTTTTTATTCCAACTTTTAAAAAAATGGACTCGGTGCCGAGTACCCGGACTCGGACCCGGTTTTTTCTGCCGGGTACCCGGATTCGGAGACTCGGCATAAACTGGTTCCGCCACATCTCTAATTACAACAGTAATTTTTTTTCAATTAATAAAGTTTTTCGCTCTAACGAGTTTTAGATATCATTTTATATTAGATATCACTATATACTTTATAGTTTTAGTGAGTTTTAGATATCACTATAAACTTAATAGTGTTAGTGGTAGTAGTGCTCTTTTGAGCGTGTTTGATACGATGCTCTTGCTAGCCATTAAAGCCAAGGTGGCGAGTTTAAAGCCAATTGGCAGCCATTAAAGCCAAGAAGGAGAAAGAGAAGCAGCTCTTTATTTTATAAGTTTAAAGGAAAAACTTTAAAGGAATAAGATAAAACAAAACTTTAAAGGAATAAAATAAAACAAAACTTTAAAGGAATAAGATAAAACAAAACTTTAAAGGAATAAGATAAAACAAAACTTTAAAGGAATAAGATAAAACAAAACTTTAAAGGAATAAGATAAAACAAAACTTTAAAGGAATAAGATAAAACAAAAAGGAAAAATGTTTTAGAAAGTATTTTTATTCTAGTTTTTAAATACATAATTAGTTGTTCTCAATTAAACCATTTCTTTTGTCTTTATTAACTAGCCTGGTATAGACTGAGCTAGTCTCCGTATGAGCTTAATATCAATTTTATTAAGGCAGTACTTAATTCTAGAATTTAATTTTTTAAAATTTTCTACATGCCAACTATTCTTGTAGACAAGGCCTTTCAAAATACTCCAAAAATTTTCGTTAGGGAGACATTCTGGCAAGTTTGCAGGGTTATCCACTTTCTCAACATAATGCACATTTTTCTTGTTTAGGTACATGATTACTGTTTTTGCATAGTGAGATGATGCTAAACCTAGCCAGAATACATATGCACCATCTGAATGATACTTATTGATGAATGGAGTAAGTATCTTCTTAATACATTAGTATAAAATTTATCATTTCCATTGATACTGGAGTGATTTAACTTGAAATAAGTCTCATCGTCAATGATTGGTTTACAATTTTTGAATTTCTGACACAATCGACTGCACTTAGTTCTAGCTACTGCTTTTTGCTGGTCAGAGCAATTTGGAATCGTCTTTTTTTTTCTTGATTTAATATTTGTTCTTTTTTTAAATGTTTTACTAATGTGTTGCTGAGTACAGTTGAACTTTTTATCTGCCTGTCGTTGAGAAACTCCATCTTTATGGTCAAATATGAGTTAGAGCCTTTCAACCTTTGTCCTGGTCATTTTTTTAGCTTTTACTCCACTTCCTTAAACTCTTTGGTACCCAGATTCACTTTCAGCAAGTTTAATTATCTTGTAGATAGTACTATATACTTTTAGGTATATTCTCAAGTTTAAAGTGGTCATAAGTGAACTTTTTAGCAGCATTTTTGTAATTTAAATAAAATTCATAAACACGTTTTCTAATCTCTACTTGATTTGAATTTATTTTTTTATTCATTTCTTCTATAAAAATAAAAACATAAAACATTTAAAAACTAGAATAAAAATACCTTCTAAAGCAGTTTTCCTATTTTTGAAATCTTATTCCTTTAAGGAGACATGTGTCTTTATATCCAGTCTCATTTTTTAGTTGTCACCCATTACCTTATATATTGCTTTTTATCTTTATTATATATATATATATATATATATATATACATATACATATACATACATATATATATATATATATATATATATATATTATATATGTATATATATATATATATATACATACAAATATATATATATATATATATATATATATATATATATATATATATATATATATATATATATATATATATATATATATATATATATATATATATATAATAAAGATAAAAAGCAATACATATATATATATATATATATATATATATATATATATATATATATATATATATATATATATATATATATATATATATATATATATATATATATATATAATATATATATATATACATATACATACATATATATATATATATATATATATATATATATACTATATATATATATATATATATATATATATATATATATATATATATATATATATATATATATATATATATATATATATATAATAAAGATAAAAAGCAATACATATATATATATATATATATATATATATATATATATATATATATATATATATATATATATATATATAATATATATATACATATACATACATATATATATATATATATATATATATATATATATATATATACATATATATATATATATATATATAATAAAGATAAAAAGCAATATATAAGGTAAATCACCATATTATTTTATATCTTTAGTATCTACATAGACATATATCTATGTAGTACGCATATAATAAAATTTGTTATTATAAATTAATCATTATTAATTATGGCTAACAGCCAAAACCACAAAGATATGAAAGCGTTAAATTGGAGATATTGTTGTATTAGCATATTCTAGCATATTCTTCAAGATCCTGTTTATCGTGCAATTATTAACTAATTAAATTAAATAAAAACTTATGCTTGAAGTATATGAAGCTGATGCAACATAAATTATGGCATTTGTTGTTATAGAAAAAATAAATTTTTTTTTTATCTTTCTATAAGGTTGTTAGTAGTGAGCCTTATGTAAAATACAATAGTGTACCACTGACTTTGGATGCTGTTTGTTTTGCACAGTTTGTTAATTTATTTCATGGAAATAAATTATGCGTCTAAAAGTATTTGTGTCTGCAAACAACTATGGCGTAATGATTTGTGTATGTTAATATTATCAATAGAAACAGTTCTGAACATTTTACGAAAGGACAGCTTAAGCAAAGCCATAACAAATTTAAAAACGACAAAAAATCTTAAAAACAATCAAGAAAAGCAAAATTCAGTTGATGAAATTTTGCTGTAGAAGAAGATAGTTATCCCATTTGAATGGGAGTTCATGACTAATTTAAAATGCATTCATGGATAATTTTGAGTTTTTGTGACATTTTAGTTTTCATTTTTTTACTTTCTCAAAATCAGTTCATTTCTGTTAAAATAATTAAATTTTTATTCTTGATTTTATTTTATGAAAAAATGGAACATTTGTTACCTTTAAAAAATGTAAAATATGTTTAAATATATATATACATAAATCTATATATATATATATATATATATATATATATATATATATATATATATATATATATATATATATATATATATATATATATATATATATATATATATATATATATATATATATAGTACATTAAAAATAATTAATTTATCTCTTGATTTTTTATATTTATGTAGAAAATGCTTATGTGCATTGTTAAATATTTATATTAATGAATGTGCGTACTTTATTACTCAATAATCCTTTGAAAGCAACGCCAAAACAGGGTCCCCAAAAGTTGTACTGCCTAAGACCACAGTTTTACTTAATCCAGCACTGATTATGCTTACTGTTATGGTCATTGTAAGAAGATCATTTTTGCAAAGTTAGTGTTTTTTTTTTTTTTAATTTAAAATTTTTAAATTTTGAGATATCACTTTTAAAATACACCTAGAATATGCTTAAATTTACACAAAAATATGAATTATTCATTGTAAAAAAGAACGTTCAAAATATGTTTTGATTTTGAATGAGTTATGCAAATTCGCAATTAAGCAAACTAAAAACAAAAAATTCAGCAAATGCAAAACAAAATCAAATAGAATAAGTAATCATTATTAAGGTTTACTTATTTGATTTAGTTTTGAGTTAGTTAAGATCCTAAATAAACCTTAGTTGCTAAGGTTTACTTAGTTAAACCTGGTTTATGAGTTTTTAGAAAAGAAGATATCTAATATTAGTTCAAACATAAATAAATTGCTTATGTAATCATATATAGAATTAATTTCTACATAAATTTAATAAAAATAATAGACTTTGTAACTTAAATTACTATAAAACCACACATTACCAGAAAGTTTGGTAATAAACGCTTACTTTGTTTACTTTTTTTGACCTACAACATGGCGCAGCTTGAGCGTTAATTAAGTACGTGCGTATCTGGCTTTTACGGCACCGATTTAAAAGTAAAAAGCTGTGACCTACACACTGTGTAGGTCACAGCTGTGACCTACACGCTGTGTAGTACACAGCGTGTAGGTCAGCATTTTTTTCACAGCGTACTTGGTGTAGGTGTCGTAAGGATTACTTTTGATACCTTATTTTTTAGAATTTTATATCAACTTAGACTTTATTTTAAAAGTAGAAGGTTTAAAGTTTGTTTTATGGTTATTTTTTTTTGCAATTACCAACGTTTTCAATAATTTTATTGGAATTAAAAACTTCGTTCCTGTTGTGGAAGTGTATTGATATTGAAGACATGTTGATTTATTTTTGTAATACGTTCATTTAATTTTCTGCATCTATTTTCTACGTACCTGCCAAATTTCAAGTAAAAATAATTGCACTCTCATTCTCTATTTTTGTACTCCCTGGAGGTACCCAATATTACGTTTTTTATAGTGGCTCGGGTGGTACGCTGTCACGGTTATGAGCATTTAGTATTATTGACTTTTCATTTTAAAAATATGTTGAGTTTTCATATCAATTTCTTTAAAAGTGTTGTGCTATAATAATTTGTTAAAAAATAGAACTTTGTTTTACTAGTAATAATACCATCTAGTTTATAATGTTACCTTATGATACTTTATAAATTAAGTGAAAATTGGTTTAAGTCATTTAATTTTTTTTTTTTTTGAATTGAAATTAGAATTGAATTTTTTTTTTAATTGGAATTAGAATTTGATTTGAAGGTAATTTTTTTGAATTACCTTATGATATTTTATAAATTAAGCGGAATTTGGTTTCAGTCATTTAATGTTTCGAGTCAAGTTCTTTAACAAATTTAAAAATGAATAAAGTAACAAAAACTATAAAACACAAAAAACCACAGTCATCACCAAGTTCGCTAAACCTATCATTCACTAATATTCTTGGTCTTTGAAGTAACTCTTCTTCTGTTGAGTCTTATCTCTTGCGAAGTTCACCAGACCTACTTGCTCTTTGTGAGACTAATTTAAGTTCAGCTGTCTCATCTTGTGATCTTAGTGTTGATGATTGTCTTCCTTTAATTCGTAAAGACTCCAATAGTCACATGGTTGGCCTGGGCATTTACATTCGTAAGAATTCACCCATTTGTCGGGAAACTAGGTTTGAATCCACAGACTACTCTTTTATGTGCTTTCGTTTAGCACCACTTCACTCTATCACCTTTCTCTTTGTTCTATATCGCTCCCCTTCATCTCCAGACTGCACTCTTCTTGATGTTATTTCTGACCATATTGACCAAGCCCTCTCTCTTTATCCATCAGCCAATATTATTGTTGTCGGTGACTTCAATGTTCATGACACTGAATGGCTTGGCTCTAGTGTCAGTGACTCTGCAGGCATTAAGGCCCATAACTTTTGCCTTCCTCAATCCCTAACTCAAATAGTCAACTTTCCAAATCGCTTTCCAGATTACCCAAATCATTTACCTTCTCTACTCAACTTATGCCTTGTTTCTGATCCTAGTCAGTGCTCAGTTTCTCCACATTCACCCTTAGGTGCCTCCGATCATGGTTTGGTCTCTCTAAAACTATTATCTCATTCTTCTTTATCATCAGAATCCCCCTATGATTAAACATCTTACAACTACTTTAAAGCTGACTGGGACTCTTTCCATGATTTTCTTCGTGATGGCCCCTGGGTAGAAATCTTTCGTCTTCCTATTGACAAATATGCTTCTTACATAACTTCGTGGATTCAGGCTGGCATGGAATTCTTTATTCCCTCTCGACAATTCAAGGTCAAGCCGCACTCT